AGCACTCAGGCCATTTTCGCTGCTTTCCCAGTCACATTAGCAGGGAGCAGGAACAGAAGTGGAACAGCCAGGACTCAAAGCGGCATCTATATGGGAGGCCAGCATTGCAGGTAGAGGCTTAATCTGCTAAACCACAATGCTGGCCCTTGGTGGAATCCTCAGATGGGAATAAGAGGCCAACTTCACTACATTTTATTTTTACTCTTGCATTTGTACCTGACCATTACGGTTCTCACCACCTTTGGACTATTGGGAATTGCTATGAACATTGCTATTCAAGTACCTGTTTGAATCCCTCCTTGTTACTCTTTGGAGTTATATGCCTTGCTGTGGACTGAATGGCAGTGTCTCCCCAAAATTCATGTGTTGAACTAACCTCCAAGGTGGCTGTACTTGGAAGTGGACATGCCGAGAAATGACTAGGTTAAATAAGGTCATGAGGCAGGCCTAGATTTGATGGGGTTGGCGTCCTTACAAAATAAGAGCCCAGAAGTAGTCACACCCTTTGTCCCTCTCTCCCATACCCCTGCATGTGCTCAGAGGAAGGGCCCTGTGAGGACAAAGTGATCACCTGCAAGCCAGAAAAAGCCTACCAGAAATTTGATCTTGGACTTTTCAGCCTCCAGAGAGATGATAGAGTAAACTCCCGTTGTTTAAGCCCTAGTCTGTGCTGTTGGCCTTTGGCAGCCTGAGCTGACCAATGCATAGCTAGACGCACATTGCTGGACCACATGGTCACTGTACCGATCCTCTGGAGGGACCAACGTTCGGCTTTCCATGGGGGTCACACCACTTTACATTCCGAGTGAAAATGCCTCAGGGTTGCAATTGCTCTACATCCTCAACAATTCTTGGTGTTTTTTGTTTCAATTTGGTCTTGATTTGCATTTCCCTAATGACTAGATATTTGAGCATTTTTTCCAAGTCCTTGGCCCAGTTTGTAATTGAGTTGTTTGGGGTTTTTGTTGCTGTTGAATCGTAAGAGTTCTTTATTCTGAATACTACTCACTTATAAAATTACGATTTTAAATATTTTATCCCATAATGTTGATTGTGTTTTTGTTCTCTCCATAGTATTTATCTACTTCTTTTTTTTTTTTTAAAAATATTTTATTTATTTATTTAGAGTTACATACAGAGAGAGGGAAAGACAGAGAGAAAGGTCTTCCTTCTACTGGTTCACTCCCCAAATGGCTGCAACAGCCAGAGCTGGGCCGATCTGAAGCCAGGAGCCAGGAACTTCTTCTGGGTCTCCCAAACAGGTGCAGGGGCCCAAGGACTTGGGCCATCTTCTACTGCTTTCCCAGGCCATAGTAGAGAGTTGGATGGGAAAAGGAACAACCAACCAGGATATGAACTGGTGCCCATATGGGATGGAGGCGCCGCAGGCGGAGGCTTAGCCTACTACTACTACTTCTCTTTCTTGTTGTTGCCTTCTTAAAAGCTAAAGTATCAGATCCAAGAAATCACAATCAAATCCAATGTCATGAAGCTTTAGCTCTGTTTTCTTCTAATAGTTTCTGATTTTTCCCTTTTATGATTAGATTTGATAGATTGTTGCAAAAGATGTAAGGTTGAGATTCAACTTCATTTCCTTTACACGTGGATATCCGGTTTTCCAGCACCGTCTGCTGAAAATACTGCTTTCTCCCCTTTGGATCATCTTGGCCTCTTTGTTGAAAATCAGTTAATCCTATATGCAAGGGTTCATTTATGTGCTCTCTATTCCATTTTGTTGGTCTCTGTATCTGTCTTTATGCCAGTACAACAGTCTTTTGGTTACCATAGCTTTGTAGTAAGTCTTCAAATAAGAAAGTATGAAATATCCAACTTGTTCTTTTTAAAGATAATTTTGGCTATTGAGAGTCCTTTTATATTCTTTATGAACTGTAGGATGGATTTTCCATTTCTATAAAAATATCATTGAAATTTTATTATTGAGTCTCTAGGTTGCTTTGGGTAGTACTGGCATCCTACTATTAAGTTTTTCAATCCCTGGACACCAGAAAGCTTTCCATTTATTTGTGACACCTTTCAGTTCTTGCAGCAATTTTTTGTACTTTTCAGTGTGCAATTCATTTACCTCTTCATTTATTACTAATATTTTATTTTTTGCATATTACTGCTTTCTTGATTTCATTTTCTGATAGTTCATTGTGATTGTGTAGAAATCAGCTGGTTTTCATAGGTTGATTTTGTATCTGCAACTTTGCTGAGTTTGTTGATTAGTTCTGATAATTTTGGGGTGAACTCTAGGGTTCTCTACATGTTGGATCTTGTCATCGGAAAACATGGATAATTTTACTATTTTGTTTCTAATTTGGATGCCCCTGCCTCCTAACTCCCTTCCTTATTTTCTTCCCTCCCTCCCTCCTTTCTTTCTTTTCCTTCTTTCCTTTCTTTCTCTCTTCCTTTCTTTCCTCTGCCTAGTATTTCTGATACTTCATTGAACAGAAGTGGCAAAAGTGAGCATCTTTTTCTGCATCATTTATGATCCACTGTCTTTTTTCCTTTGTCCTATTAAGATGATATAATTACACTGACTGATTTTAATATGTTGTTCTGGGGGGGGTGGAGTTCACTTGATCATAGTGTATAATCCTATTAAATTAGATTCACTAGTATTTTGCTGAGGACTTTTGCATCAGTATTCCCAAAGGATATCAGTATCTTTGTCTGCCTATAGTATCATTGGCTTTAGTATCGGCACAATACTGGCCTCACAGAATGAGTTAGGAAGTAGTCCCTTCTCTTTAATTTTTTGGAAGAGTTTGAGAAAGATTGAGTTATGCATCTCTTAATGATGGGGATACATTCTTAGAAATGCATTGTTAGGCAATGTCATCACTTTGCAAACATCATAGAGTATACATTACACAAACCTAGGTGATATAAACCAATCCCTCAAGTGATCTCTTTATGCAATCAAGGGAGGCAATAAACACATACATATGAGGCTGCTGATGGCATAACACAGTATGCTTTGTAAACTTGTTTTTAATAAGTAGGAGTACATGCTAAAATGGTGGTACAAAGAATGGTATAGTAAATACATGCACCAGTAACATAGTAGCTTATTATCATTATCAAATATTACATACTATATATAATTGTATGAGCTATACTTTTTTATGACTAGAAGCACAGCAGGTTTATTTGCACCAGCATCACCACAAACACAGGGGTAATATATTGTGCTAGTGGTCCTATGAGATTATACTGCCCAGTGATGGCATAGCCATCTTAGTTTGTGTAATTATACTCAATGATATTTATATAAGGATGAAAACGCCTAATGACGTATTTCTTGGAACGTGTCTTCATTGTTAAATTGTGTAAGATTTTGTTCTTTTTTTAAGATTTATTTATTTATTCGAAAGTCAGAGATACACAGAGAGAGGAGAAAGAGAGAGAGAGAGAGAGAGAGAGAGAGATCATCCTTCCACTGGTTTACTCCCCAATTGGCCACAATGGTTGGAGCTGCGTCAATCCAAAGCCAGGAGCCAGGAGCTTCTTCCAGATCTCTCACGCGGGTGTAGGGGCCCAAGGACTTGGGCCACCTTCTAGTACTTTCTCAGGCCATAGCAGAGAGCCAGATCACAAGTGGAGCAGCTGGGACTTGAACCAGCGCCCATATGGAATGTCAGCATTGCAGGCAGCGGGCTTTACCTGCTACACCGCAGCGCCGGCCCCACCCCTCTCTTCTCTTTATGGGACTCCCTTAATACATTGATCCACTTGATGATGTTCCACAAGTTGCTTCTTTCTTTTTTCTTTCTGTTTTTCAGATCTAAGCGTTTCAATTATTCTAAATTCAATTATTCCAAATTCATGTTCACTTATTCTTCCTTCTCCCTGCTCATATCTGATACTGAACCTGTGTATGAAATTCTCATTTCCGTTACTGTACTTTGAAAGTTCAGAATTTGGGCCGGCGCCGCAGCTCAATAGGCTAATCCTCCCCCTGTGGCGCCAGCACACCGGGATCTAGTCCCGGTCAGGGCGCCGGATTCTGTCCCGGTTGCTCCTCTTCCAGGCCAGCTCTCTGCTGTGGCCAGGGAGTGCAGTGGAGGATGGCCCAAGTGCTTGGGCCCTGCACCCCATGGGAGACCAGGAGAAGTACCTGGCTCCTGCCATCGGATCAGCACGGTGCGCCAGCCGCAGAGGCCATTGGAGGGTGAACCAATGGAAAGAGGAAGACCTTTCTCTCTGTCTCTATCTCTGTCTCTCTCTCATTGTCCACTCCACTATAAAAAAAAAAGTTCAGAATTTTGTCGCTCCCCCTCTTCATGGAGGAACGACACTAAACCCTGCCTAGGCTTCATATCCGAGTCACGGCACCATTATGTCGCTCCCCGTCTTCGTGGAGGAACGACACAGGACCCTGCGCTGTTCTTTTGTCTGCTCGGCCCTCCCCGGGTTTGCTGCTGGTTCTTCCCGGGTTGGCTGCCGACCCTTCCACCTCCGTGGAAGGGTGGTTCCCCCTACCACATTCCCCACTTCCGCGGGGGAGCGGCACACCGCCAGCCGGCTCTCTCAGGGGCTGCACAGGTGTTCCCCTTAGATGTTCCCCTTAGATGTTCCTGGTGCATGCCGTCTCTCTCCTCCTTTATAGTCCTCTTCCACCAATCCCAACTCTGCTACCCACACGCTGAGTACACTGCTCTCCTCCAATCAGGAGCAGGTCCCACAGTTTATTGGTTGAACTGGAGGCAGCTGTGTAGAAGCTGTTTCCCTTCTCAGCGCCATATTGTGGGAAAGCAGATGCATAGAATAAGTCTTAATTCCAGTAACTTAGTCTAGTCCGAGTTGCTCCCAGTTGCTCCCCACAGAATTTGGCTTGTTTTTATAAGTTCTATAATTTTGTTGACATTCTCACTTTATACATATATGAGGCTATTTCAATGGAATTAAATGATGTTTATTTCGGTGCAAAAAATTTAAAACCCAGGTATTTTTCTATAATATTATATATATATATATATTCCATGAACCTTTTAAAGATCTCTCACATTTTTTCTTAATTTCCATTAAGTCCTTGTCCATGTTTTCCCTTAAGTATTTGAGCATATTTAGCCAATTGTTTTAAAGTCTTCTAGTAAATCTGATGTTTTGGCTGCTTTGAGGATAGTTTCTGTCAATTTACTTTTTTTTTGAACTGTGTTTTCCTGCAACATTGTACGCTGTGTGTGTGTGTGTGTGTGTGTGTGTTGCTATTGTTAAAACTGAACATTTGATAGTTGTTATTTGGCAGCTCTGGCAATCAGGATTTGTTTTTACTTTTGTTTTGTTTTGTGTCAGTTGTTGAAGGCCATGGTAGTGTGTTTGTTTGGGAAATTTTTTTTCCAATTTTATTTGTGGGGGAATGTTATTTCTTTTTATATGTGCTCATTTAAGTGTGTTGTTTTAATTCATGTCCAGTTGATGTCTTGATGATGATTTCCTGGAATGTGAAAGAAAACAAACAACACACACACAAACACACACACACACAAATAGAGAGAGAAATAACCATGTTTCCCAATCTTTGCAGACTGGCTCTGTGCTGGGGCCAACATTCACAGACTCTCTGTGTGGTTTGCTCTGAGCCCAGAGAGAAACCTCACCTGCAGGGTCAAGTCTTCTCAAGACTGTTTTGAGACTCCATCTTATCTGGACATGTGTGTGACTTTCTAAAAATCTCCATATATGCGGTGACTTTGAAATGTTCCAATCTCCCAGAGTCTTGCCTCAGCTCCTCCTGTGGGCCTTAGATACCCAGTTGTGAACCTCCACACAGCATCTCTCATCTCAGGCATCCGTGGGTTTGCAGTCCTTTCATAGCCTTTATCAGCAGTGCCCACCCGTTTTCCATCTGTGTTCTGAGTTGTGCAAGACACAGACCAGTGAGTCAGTCCTTCAGATATTCCTGGACAACTTAGAATAGAGTGCACTCTAATTTTCAGAGTAGTCCTGGAAACTGGAAGGTTTGCCACTGCTCGAAACCAAGATGTTGCTACCCTACCAGGGAGTGAGTGGGGGCAAGGATGTACGGAAATGCCACAAAACACTCCTACTATTTTAAAGGTAATTGTTTTCTTTACTGAGTGTTTCTTGTTGTTGTAAACTTTTTGTTATTTTCAGAACTCCTACAAAGTTCATTCAGACAGTTTTTTTTTTTTTTTTTTGGATGTTTCTATGGGGGAAATAAGACCTTGGAATTTTTCTGATCTGCCGATTTCCTGACAGCACTCTAATTTAATTGCTTTTTGTTCCTTCTAATATCTCCAAACTTCCTGCTAGAATCATCATCTTTTTGTGTGCCAAACACAAAAAAGTGTATCTATGTCTTCTATGCTCTCTTAGGAATATTCCTTGTATTTGTCTCGCAATCACCCAGTATGGATATTTTCTTCCAACCCATCTTCCAGTTCATTTATTCTCTCTTCAGCTATCTGAAATTTGCTTTACACTCATACATCTAGTTTTCAATTTGTGAGTTTTACAATTTGTGTATAATTATCTGCCAAAATTCTCAATCACTTTATCTTTTTGAATAGTTTAATCATATTCATTTTAAAGTCTATATGTCAGAGCTTATCATTCGGAGCCCTTGTAAACCTGATTCAATTGTATATTGTTTATCTTGGTTTTCTTGTCTCTTCACAAGGCTGGTTAATTTTCATAAAACAGATATTATATGTTTAACTTATGTTTAAAATTATATTTGACATTAACTAGTTCACTATGCTAGAAATGAAAGTGGCCAATTCATTTCTACTCTTCTTTCTTTTTTTTTTAATTTTTACTCATCTCTGACCTCACTCAAGAAGTGTAGTGAAAATGTACATGCATAACTTGTGAGAATTTTAATGAGCATTTGGGGCTTAATGAAAAGGGTAGTTAAACATATGCTTGCCTTAGCTTTTGCTGTGCTCATCCAGTTAGCTTCTTATGATACATTTTATATGAACTCAAGAATTTTTTCTTCAGGAAGTAAGGGATTAATTATTTAAAAGGGTAATATTTCTTAAAATGATATACTTCTGACCTGGAGTTTTCTAATAACATTTCACAGCTAGTTCAAGACCATGGCCATGGCAGTTGATAAAAAAAAATTGACTAAATGCATACGAGACTAATATTGGAACACAGTTAAATTTGTGGTTGTATGACTGAGTTACACTTCAAAGAACCATTTGCAGGCCCCATTGAGGATGCATGGGAGCAGCTAATCAGGGGTTCCTAGGCATGTTTATGGTGCATTGTAAGGCAGCTACCTGGCTATCCTGTTGTTCCCCACTCACTGAAAACATTGAGCTCAGCAAAGTTGTATCATAGTCAGCATTGCTTCCAAGCCAAGAATTTGTCATTGGTAAGCCTGCTTGCTATTAAGATTAAATATTGCTCATTGATATCCATCTGTCTCAGATCATTTAGCCGTTCACCTACCTCAGGTGGTTCTATTGAGTTCTGTGAACATGTCATTTTAAAAAAATTGTTCCAATCTTGAAATAACACTGAATACAATTAAAAAATATTGCACACAATGTTAGTCCAAAAGATTCAGCCAACTTTTGAGGCACTGAGAAGATAAATCCCCTCCAGTATAAAATTCTCCTGAGTTATTTCATTATCTGTTAGAATTTTACAACTGTTTTTCTCTAAAAATTTTCAAGATAGTCCCATATGACTCTTTTAAGTTTGGCTCTTCTCATATGAAGTTTTAAATGAAGGATATAAATTAGACTACTGACTGGTAAAAGGAAATGAGGCAGAGAGGGGTCAGCGGAGACTTGGAAGAGCAGATAGCACCTCTCCAAAATTCCTTTCCTTCTTCTTCGTTCTTTCTTATTTTATGTTTTTTTTTTTTTTTGGACAGGCAGAGTTAGACAGTGAGAGAGAGAGACAGAGAGAAAGGTCTTCCTATCGTTGGTCCACCCCCAAAATGGCCACTATAGCCAGTGCTGTGCTGATCCAAAGCCAGGAGCCAGGTGCTTCCTCCTGGTCTCCCATGAGGGTGCAGGGGCCCAAACACTTGGGCCATCCTCCACTGCCTTCCCGGGCCACAGCAGAGAGCTGGACTGGAAGAGGAGCAATGGGGACAGAATCCAGCGCCCCAACCGGGACTAGAACCCAGGGTGCGGGCGCCGCAGGCGGAGGATTAGCCTAGTGAGCCCCGGCGCCGGCCAACCACTCTGTATATTTCACATGGAGAGGCTGTCCAACTGTAGATGTTTCCTCCGGACCCAGAGACCAGCTTTCCATTACACGGAATACTTTCCCTTACTCAATGACCTGACTCACTGACTCTGAGGTAGTTCTAGGACACGCCCACAAACTGTTTGACATTCCTTCCGTTGGGTGGCAGGGCCTGTGACATCTGCTCTTGAACCTAGAAGAATTTTTGCAACCGCCTCAGTCAGCGGAATAAAATGCCACACACCACTGCCATAGTCTTTTGCGGCCCTTGTGCCGAGAACTCAGACACTGTTCTGTAAGGAAGCCCACGTAGTCACGTGGAGAGGTCGGTGAGGGTGTGCCAACAATCTTAGCCAAGAGCCCCACCCAAGGTCTCAGCCAACAGCTTATACCAACAACCAGACTTAGGAGTAGACGAGGCCTCGCATGCTTCCAGTCCCACCACTGTGCCACCCCAACTTCGGAGTATTTCCAACTGAGGCCCCTGATATGATGGACCAAAGAGAACCCATCCATCCCACTGTGTGTGCTCTGAATTCCTGACCCACCAAATCCATGAGCATGAAATGGTTGTCTTATCTCTTGTACACACACACACACACACACACACACACGGGAGTACCTCAAATTGTTTGTGGAAAGAAAATGATGCAAAAAAAAAAAAAAGGAAATCCATGAATACGTTGTTCATAATACATATTTCCATGAACTTTTTGAAGATACCTCATATGCTTTGATTTCAATTTTTTACACCAAAATTAACTTATCTTTTAATTCTGTTTTCCATAAACTTTTTGAAGTACCTGCTTGTATTTGATGTATATCAAACATCATAAGAGGGAAAGAAAAGTGAGGAATTGGTTATATGGCTACAGAAGGACAAGATTCAAGCATTTATAGGGGCCAGTGCTGTGGCGTAGCAGGTAAAGCTGCTGCCTGCAGTGCCGGCATCCCATATGGGTACCAGTTTGAGTCCTGGCTGCTCCACTTCTGATGCAGCTCTCTGTTATGTCCTGGGAAAGCAGTAGAAGATGGCCCAAGTCCTTGGGTCCCTGCACCCGCATGGAAGACCTGGAATATGCTCCTGCCTCCTGGTTCTTGTCTCCTGGCTTCTGATGGGCACAGCTCTGGCCATTGAGGCCATTTGGGGAGCAAACCAGCAGATGGAAGACCTCCCCCCCCCCCGCCTCTCCTTCTCTCTGTGTGTAACTCTTTAAAATTAATAAATAAAACTTAAATAAAAGAATTTATAAAACCTTGGGCTGGTGTTGTGGTGCAGCAGGTAAAGCTGCTGCCTGCAATGCCAGTATCCTAGATGGATGCCATTGTGAGCCCTGGATGCTCCACTTCCAATCCAGCTCCCTGCAAATGACCTGGGAAAAGCTATAGAAGGTAGCTCAAGTATTTGGGCCCCTGCCACCCATGTGGGAGATCCAGATGAAGCTACTGGCTCCTGTCTTTGGCCTGGCCCAGCTCTGGCCATTTTGGCCATCTGTGGAGTAAACCAATAGATGAAGTCTCTCTCTCTCTTTCTCTCTCTCCCTCCCTCTCTCTCTCTCTTTCTCTCTCTTTCTCTCTCCCTCCTTCTCTCTCTCTCTCTCTCCCCCTCCTTCCCTCCCTCTGTGTAACTCTTTCAAAATAAATAAATAAATCTTTTTAAAAGAAAGAGAGAGAGAGAAGAGAACCTGAGTCTGTTAAAAACACTGTCTCCACTTACATGACTTCTACTTTTCAGCTTTTCTGATGAGAAATGAATAGTGGATGCCATTGTTGTAGGCGGCTGCTTAACCTGCTATGCCCACAACCCTGTCCCAGATGGGAGACTTTTAATTACTGCTTCAATTTGCTGCTTGTTATGGTCTGTTTAGATTTGCTATATCTTTTTTATTTAATCTTGGTAGATTATATGTATCCATGAGTTTATGCAGTTCTTCAAGGTTTCCAAACTATTCATAGTAATTTCTTATGATCTTTTGTATTTCTGTGGTATCAGTCTCCTTTTTCATCTCTAATTTTATTTGATTTTTTTCTCTGTTAGTTGGCTAAATGCTTATATCTATTTTGTTTATCTTTTTGGGAAACAAGATTTTCATTTTGTTGATCTTTTGAATTTTTTAGCTTCAATTTCTTTTTTTAAAAAATATTATTTATTATTTATTTGAGAGGCAGAATTATAGGTGTAGAGAAGGAGAGACAGAGAGAGGTCTTCCATCCGCTGATTCATTCCCCATGTGGCTGCAATGGCTGGAGCTGATCCGACCAGAAGCCAGGATCTAGAAGCTTCTTCTGGGTCTCCCATGTGGGTGTAGAAACCCAACCACTTGGACCATCTTCTGCTGCTTTCCCAGGCCATATCAGAGAGCCAGATGGAAAGAGGAGCAGCTGGGACTCAAACCAGTGCCCATATGGGATGCCCAAGCCGTAAGTGGAAGCTTAGCTTCCTGTGCCACAGTGCTGGCCTCTTTAGCTTCAATTTCATTCATTTCTGCTCTGATTCTTATTGTTTCTCACCTCCTGCTTATTTGAGGTTTGATTTGTTCTTGTTTCTCTGAGTCCTTGAGATGCATCATTAGGTTGTTTGAGATCTTTCTATTTTTTTAAATGCAAGTACTTATCACTATAAATTTCCCTCTTAATACTGCTTTGGCTGCAGCCTACCATCTGTGTTCTGAATCTTTTCTGTTCTTACCCACTCTGGATTTTCCCCTCTTTAATTTTCTCCTTCTTTTCATGCTTCCCCAATCTCTTTCTCTTTGCTCAGTTGGTCTCATCACAACACATTATGAGTTCCTTTCCCCTACTTATCTATTTTCCTGTTCCCCTCTCCGCAAAATTTCTTTAATACAGTCACTATACATGTTGTCCGTGCCTCTCCTCTCACTCCC